TGCTTTCCAGAAGCCATTTTGGATTAGAAATTGGCCAGAGTCCTGAACTGAAACTCAAGGTCTCCATGTTTCCTTGATTTTTTTCATTGAAATCACATCACAACATAAATAAAGCATGGGCTCCAATCCAGAACCCACTGGGATCAATAAAAACTTCTCCTAGCCCCTTGCATCTGGGTGGTTTTATACACAAATAATTTATAAAAGCATCTGCTTTGTTCTTCTATTTATGGAATAACTAAAACATGCTATTCATTTTTATCTTACAGGTGAGGAGAGCTTAATTCTTCTAGATGGAAGACATGAATTTCCATTCAGCTTTCAACTCCCTCAAGAGTAAGTTAAATAATCCAACCTGAAGGGATTCTGTTGGACTCTGTTTGTTGTGGAACATTAACTTAATGTAATTTGACTTGTGGTTTTTTTAATACCAAACCGATAGGTCAGCTTTATATGTTTGTCTTAATCGACCACCACATGCACATGCCTTGTTTGCTTCAGTTTCCCTATGGCCCTAAAAGTACAAGGTGTAAATTGGTAAACGTTGATGTACACGGGAAGTGTTCATGTTTGGAACTGAATTATAAACTTGGGGTAACGCTTTTATGACTGCTCGTTTCAGACCTCTGGTGACCTCTTTTACTGGGAAGTATGGCAGTATTCAGTACTACGTGAAAGCAATTCTGGAGAGGCCTGCAGCACCTGATCAAAGTGTACAGACAGAGCTTCATGTCATCAGCCATATCGATGTCAGCTCACCAGCTTTATTGGTAAGAGGGTCCTCCACTCCTCTCCCCGCCCCCCTTAAAGCCAGCTGCAAAAAAACCATTTCCAAGCAGCATTCACATCCAGCCATAACCGTTTCCATGTTATTCTGGAGTGTCATTTTCTGACTTCTGAAAGCATGTAAGCTCCCTAAGCTTTCCTCTATAAATAGATGATCTTAGGTTGTGTGAATAGCAGACAGAGTGGCTTTTTTTAATGCCATTGATTACATCCCTGCTGGCAGAGATGCTTTTGCCAAAAAGTTATGCAGGCTTCACATGCATAAATAAGGCTTAATAATAATAATGCACAACCATAAAGTAGTTACTCTTACCAGAGCAACTACATTCATAGGGCTGCAGTGTCCTAAACTCTACAATAATAGTAGGTTGAGGAACAGTAATTATAGAAGAGTATTAATCATGCCCAGCCTGTCATTTATGCTCTGGCCATTATGTTACGTATCCTTCCATTTTGCATGTCGTTTTCTAACATTAAGTGCGTGCATGCAGCTGCTTCAGAGATCTTTTCAGTTATTTCCTTATGACAGATTTGGCCACATTAAAGCATTGAGTTCCTAATAATCGCTAGAAATACTGTAGAGTAATAAGAAAGATCAGGCATTAAGTAATGAGAAAATAGGCAAGATGGAAGCTAATGAGCTGGATTCTTTTATCTCAACCCATATTATGAAAATAATATAAAATTATACCTTGCACTTTCATGATAGCAACTGGATCTAAATGGTTATTCATTTAAATATGAATGAGTAATTTCTATTTTATTTAAAATGCTAGGATAATTTTGAACATTTCATCATGATGTGAACATAGCTAAGAGATGTTTTGAGCAGGGTTTTTTGCCTCTTTATATGCTTACATTTTAATCTTTCCCTCTAGAGAGGACTTACAGTTTTGGCAGTGACGTCTGTAAGCAGAATATAGTCTTTATATTCAACAATGTATGTTAGGAGTGTGGAGACAGCATATCCAGATAGAAACATACAATAGTTTAGGTTGGAAAAGACCTTTAAGATCATAGAGTCCAGCCGTTAAATACTGCAACCGTAGATATGCAAGGATGGTGTAGACCATAGGTTATCGCACGGGAGAGGGCTGTGAGGCACATGAAGTAGGCAGTGCCTGTCTTGATGGATTCCAAGGCTACCACAAAAAAAAATGCAAAACCACACAAATTTTAGACTTCATGATTACATTGACTGGACACTAGGGCCCAGTAAATTATTTTAAGTAGCTTGAATCCTGGCTTGGACCCTTGACCTGTGTACTTGTATGTTGTATGTTTATTCTAATGAAAATTTTACAGACGTCGTAAATGTCATCTAATGTGACAGTCCTCCATGAATAATTAAGATGGTTTTTGTCATGAGCCTAAATTTTTTGGGGGTTGTGTGGCTTGCAAGTTTTGGAGATGCATCACCTTAGCCCAGTGTGTATACATTTGTCCTTTCTTATGAAGGATACAGTTTACCTGCTTAACTATTGGTTGCTTGCAGATTAATTCTGCATTCTTCTGCACTGAGGAACATGGGCATAAATACCGCAGTACGCCATTAGACCTCTAAAAAGTCACACCTACAAAATTTGCTAAATCATTCTTTTTGAAGACAGATTACATTCAAGTGCAGATTGGTCTCTGTGTTACTTAGCTGATACGGTCTAAATGCAGACTGGGATTTTAAAATAGCCATACGTTCAGATAGCCAACCCTTGGTTCCATTTTACATGGCAGCAGAACTCCAGTTGCATGAGTAGTACAGTGATTCAAATCAAGTGGATTTTAGAGCTAGATTGCAATGACTGATATGCATAACATTAAACTGCAAGTGATTGATAGCTTTATGCTGTAAAATGAAAAATACTCTATTTTATAGACACCTGTTCTAAGAAGTCAGGAGAAGATGGTTGGCTGTTGGTTTTTCACCTCTGGGCCAGTGTCTCTCAGTGCCAAAATTGAGAGGAAGGGATACTGTAATGGTAAGAGCAGTTATCTTCAAAATGTGAATATTAAACATCTAATAGTGTTTTTTAATCTCTGTGAAGCTAACACTTTATAGTTGAAAGAATAGTTCTGTTTAGTAGGTAGTAAATTGAGATCTATATGAACTTGCTTTTAACAAAAATCGTCTTGCCTGTCCCCTCACTCCCCCCTTGGGAATATAAATTGAAAGGAAGTCCTGTTAGTCAGTAATCTTATGGAAAAGCCATGTACATTTGAGTGGAAAGAACAACAAAATGCTTTTATTTGGGGTAAAATACTTAATTGGGGTTGTAACAGGGGTTTTTTATGTCCTGTTTGTGTAGGTTTACACTTCTGTAAGAATGAGCTTCAGCAGCTTCTTTGTCATCTTGATAACATTAGATACATTGAGGAAATAAAACATTCTAAAATTCATTTACTATTATATAAAAGGAAGATTGGCACATAATTTGCAAATAAAGCTTTTATAGCTTGTTCATATTATGCTTAATGTTTCAAAATGAATCATTGTTTATATGTAAAATGTAGTAGGTGGCTATAATTCTGCCTGGATACCACTCTGAAAAAAAAAAAAAACAAAACCCCAACTAGCTTGAGGAAGCTAACAAGTATTGTTCTCATAACATTGCAGATGATGTACGTGCGGCGTAACATGCTTTGATACTCCCAGAGGAAAATTGGCAAATACAAATTAATCATGGAACTTTTTCTGTCTTTAAGGGGAAGCCATACCAATCTATGCAGAAATTGAGAACTGCTCTTCTCGTTTGATTGTTCCAAAAGCTGCCATTTTCCAAACACAAACTTACCTGGCCAGTGGGAAGACAAAAACTTTCCGTCAGATGGTTGCCAATGTCCGAGGAAACCATATTGCCTCTGGGAGTACAGATACCTGGAATGGGAAAACTCTGAAAATCCCACCTGTATCCCCCTCTATACTTGACTGCTGTATTATTAGAGTAGAATATTCATTAGCTGTAAGTATGGATTTTTATTACAAACGTACATACTCTTGAATAGTACGTTGAGTTGGGAACAGGATTTTCTCTACTGAGCAGCTATTAGATTTTGAATTTGGGAACATCAGTAAAAACAAATACTTTATACTGTATAGGTGAGAGACTGAAGATCATGAAGAGATTCTGAAATGGAAAGATAGGATTAATGGGGAAGATGGAAAAATGTTTCTGAGGAAGAACCTGCAGAGGTTATTAGGGGAAAGTAGTTCAAGCTGAATGGGTTCCTCTAGTGATTCTTTTCAGAAATGGGAAGATAGGACCGGAAGTCAAGTGCATAATTAAAAAAAAAATACAAAACAGGTTGACAAAAATAATGTCACCTAGAGACAAGGTGACAAAAAGAAGGAAGTTGCTGGAAAATAAGGAAAGCTGGGATGAGAAAACTATTCTTGAAACAGTCTGCAGTATAGGGAGTAGGGTAGCTTCTAGGAGCAGGAATTCAATGTGGTCTTACAATGTTTTTTTCTTTTATTTGGGGGTTGTCGCATAGGTGTATATCCATATTCCTGGTGCTAAGAAATTGATGATTGAAATGCCTCTGGTGATTGGCACTATCCCATGTATTGGATTTTCAAGCAGAAACTCCAGCATTACCAGCCAGTTTAGTATGGATATGAGCTGGCTGGCATTGACCATGCCAGAACACCCTGAAGGTAATACATATTGAACTCTTTATAATACAGCATAGTATTGTCTGCAACGGAAGGACAGCCGTGCCAATTTAAGGGCACTACTAGGGATGTAGGCCATTAAAGTGTGACTCAGGGCAAGTGAGGCACACAAATCTAAGCCAAGATCCGAAAGGATTGGTGAGGATACCCTTACTCCAGCCTTTAAGTCTCTCTTTACCCCTGTCTGACTACTTTCAGCTGAATCTTAAAATAACTAACTTCTGATGGTGGGAACTGTACTTTGGAGGTAGACACCTTAAAGTTAGTCATTACTGAATGTATCTTGACACAACACAGGTTTGTTGCTGGAGTAGCCCTAAAAGCATCTGTAGTGTTC